AGGGCTTCTCCTCCAGTGTTCTGCCTCCCCTCCCTACAGCCTCAGAGACCAGCAGCAGGGACCAGAGACCAGCACCCTGGTGGAGCTGAGCTACAGCACCAGGCACAGCTGGCCGCGGATGGCCGCAGGGGTACGTGGCAGTGGCCAGCAGCTGACATCCAGTAGTATCCGGCATCACGTGGTGACATCAGGACTTAGCAGAACAGCCCTTCGCCAGGACAGGACTTCCATCTGTACCAAGCAAAAGGAAACTAAGCCGAATGAAAACACAGCTGTGTAGGGCTGGCCAAACAGCTCAGGGGATTAAAGCGCCTGCAAGCAGGTGCAGGGGCCGGGGTTCAATCCTGGGACCTGCCGTGCCGGCCTCACCTCCAGGGCATGCTGAGATGGCAATTGAGACTGGGCGTGGTGGCGCGCACCTGTAATCCCAGCTCTTGGGAGGCTGTAAACAGGTGGATCACTACGAGTCTGATCTTGTAGTGAGACCCTGAACACCTTGTAGACCCTTCCCTAAAATACAAAACAAAACAAAACAAAAAAACCAAAGCTACATGATGATTTGAAAAAAGCACAAGCAAGCACAAGTGAGAAGAAAATCTTGAGGGAAATAACCAACAGTGGGGACGCATAGCAGGGGTCTGATCCTGGGGATAAATTCATCCTGAAACAATGAAAATTCAACTTTTGCAATCCCAGAGGGCTTGAAAAGGACCCAGAGCCTCCTGGCATAACATTCAAAACTCCAGGACACAGTCTACAGCTATGCAAAGGATACAGAGAGTCAGGACAGCAAGCAACTCTGAAGAGAACGGACAGGCCCCAGTCCTGACCCGACCCAGGACCGGCAGGAAGCGCAGCAGTCAAGGCAGCTACTGGGACTGTGCTTCAGTACACAGGCAACAAGCAAGGCAACGCTCTTGAAATGCGTGGGACCGCTTTCTCCAAAGCACTTGGGGCTCTGACATGGCAACAAAGGAAAATTTTAGGATTGAAAAATGCGGCAATAGAAATACAAGTTCCGGGGCCGAGAGATGGCTCAGTGGAGTAAGTGCTTCCCTGGCAAGCGCAAGGGCCTGAGTTCAATCCCCGGTTCTGCAAAAAAAAAGAAAGAAAAAGAAAAAGAAATACAAGTTCTTAGAGGGGAAGAATTTCATATTACCTTTAGAGGAGCAGCGAGCCTTCCAGCTTGCTTCCTGGTAAAAACAAATGTAGAAATGGAGGCCATCAAGTGCTGCTTAACTCAGTGGCGGGTGGCTATCCAGGGTAGCTATCCAGCACACCTGAAGCCCCAGGTCCGTCCCCCGACTGTGAAATAAGTTAATTAAATAAAAATGAACCGGTAAGAGAAAACAACTGCCAATGAGGAAGTCTATACCAAGTGAAAATATAGTGTAAAAGGAGGCAAAACAATGACATCTTTGCATAACAGAAGTAGCCAAAATCAGAATGTAGCTGTCTGTGTCACCCAGCCCCGGTGCACAGCTGGCTCCAGCAAGCCAGCCCTGCAAGCCTGCTCCCTGCCCTCAGCTTACTGACTGCTGTGTGCGCCTCTCCCATCTAACAGAACGTGTACTGAATGATTTCTTCTGTGCTTTCCCTTTGGATTTCATAAAACAGAAGTGTAAGGCCACAAGTGAGAAGAAAGGTCACGTGAGCAAATGCGGAGATGGGAAGCCCGAGAGATGCGCCTGACCCTGCGTGGCCCTCAGCCTGTGTCAGTTTTGACCGTAGCCTTTCACCCGGGCGCTCTTCTCCCTTAAGTAACTTCAGTGTCTCCGGTGCCTCCTGGAGGCTGTAAAGCCCACGTTCTCACTCAGTTCTCTCTCCTAGCAAGACGTGCATGAAGTGTGCATGTGCCTTGGCTGTTGAATGCACTTTTGTAAATGCTACAGTTTTGCACGACCAGAAAATATGCACATCAGGCGCCAGGTCGGGTGCGCTGTGTGCTGCAGTCTCATGCGTGGACACCGCAGAACAGGAAGAGCATGGGCTGACCAGAAGCTAGGAGGGGGAAGATGGGACAGCAAGCATGGCTCACACAAAGGATGGCCAGAAGGGAGAGAGTGGGGCAGGAGACGCTGCGGAGCTGGGTCCCCCGTGTGTGGACCATGCCAATGCCCCAATATCCAGGGGTGCCTGGGGACAAGGGGCCCAGCCTGCAGCAAGAGGCCCCGTCGCTGTCTCTGCACCCAGTGTATCCGTCTGCAAGCCACACAGACCGGGTGGCTCTGACAGTCTCCGAGATTCGTGCAGCGAGTTCTGGGAGAAGCCGGTCAGCGCTTGGCTGTGCCACTCCACAGTAATGTTCAGTCTCTGGAAGGCGCAAGTCCCAGCGCCGAACTCCTCCCGCTGTGTTCGGTTTGGCTTACAGATCCTGGTTTTCTATTTTTATGAAACCTGTGAATTTTACTCATCACCTTTTCAGGGCTTTGGAGTACTTCAAGTTTAGTTCATCGAATACCATCATTTTGCATCGTAACAATAAGGTTAATACTTCCAAATTCCTTCTGAGGCATTTTACCTATCTACTGAACAAAGCGTTCTTAGTACTAATCAAGTTTTAGCAGTCTAAGCATTCAACCTAGAATTGCAATGAACCCAAAGTCTCTTGCATGTCCCAGTACTGTGCGTAAGTGCTCTAGGATTATAAGACTGAATCAGTTACCTACTTACGCATTTTCAGATTAGATTTACGACATTTTCATTGCAATAGGCCAAATGCTTTAAACATTATGACTATGAAATATCAAGCCTGTCCATATTTTTTGATGTGAAAGCTGTAATTCTGTGACTCTGGTCATATTAACCGTTTGTGGAGTTTGTAGCCAGGACCAAACAGAATGTGGCCATCAGTAGGGTTCAAACTCAAGAGCGGTGCACACAGCTCGTGTCCCCAGACCTGACCTTGCCTGCTTCTTTAAAAATAGTCGCTAAAAATCATGGAGCAGAATATGGACACTAGTGTATGAAGTGCAAGGTGTGACTTAAATCTGTCACCACCTGCCAGCCAGCTTCTGATCACCACCTGGTCAAGAGTTAGGCTCTGCTGAGACCAGGCTTCCCATCCCGCCCTGTCCCTGACACCACAGGGACTGGTGCGTGTCAGGCAAGCGCTTCAATGCTGAGCTACACCCCCTTAGCACCCTCTCGGCCCCCCATGTTTTTACTGAGCTGACGCTGCTGTATATTAGCTGGCAGAATAGTGTGTCTGGCACTTCTGAATGTGCTCGTGCCGTGCTCTGGTGATGCCTGCTCCCGTTACCTCCCTGTCCTTCCCTGCCCTACATATTTATTATTATTTACTGGAATTATTTCAGATAGAAACTTGTGCTTTTTAAAATTTTAAATAGGTTGTATAGGGAGTAATGTGTCCTGCACTTTGCCCAGAACCTGTGAAGCTTCCAGGACAAACTGGCTGACGCAGTGAGGGCTGCAGACACTGAGGCTGCCCAGACGGCCACAGTCTCAGCCCAGCAGTCTTTGCTGGGACGCCCTGCAGGCCACAGTGCAAGTGGGTCAGAGGGATGTCGGCTGCTCCAGTGCCGGGTGAAGTGATCCAGCTGGGGATGGCGGGCTGCTGCTAGGAGCAGAGAGGAGGGTCCTCTCCAGGGCCCCACCAGGCCTCCTTGGGACTTCTGGCCTCCAGAGCCATAGTGTGTGGTTTCACGCTGCTCCGTGAGTGGGGGTCAGCTGCAGAGGTGCACAGCTAGGGATGTGAGGGGCGCAGAGGGAGCAGCTCTCTGCGGCTCCCTTGTGCCTGCTGGCCTCTCCCTACCCTGGGGCCTGCTCAGCAGGGTATGGTGTAGGGACTCGTTGGTGTCTCAGTGTACCCTGGGGGGAAACAGCAGCAGGAATGAGGAAAAGGTAGACAAGAGACCAGAGCTGGGTCGGGTGGAGGAGGCCTGTGTGCCTGGTGGGCAGAGATAGGGGTGCTCATTTACACCTTCGCAAAGTCAGTGTCATGAGACACAAGGCTACTAGTGGCTAGTGGCTGACACTGCTGGGCAGGGTGCTTTTCTCAGGGCTTGCTTGCTTTAGGCCCTGTGGCCTTGTCCTGCCCTCACACAATGACCGATTTCCAGCCTCAGCTGCTCCCAACACCTGGTCTGAGGTACCAAGGCAGGGGCCCCTCATCTTCCCAGGGCCCAGCTGGCCTACACCTGCTCCTCAGAGTTTGCTGCGCAGGGTTCAGCTGCCCAAAGCAGCCAGGCTCTACCGAGCTCCCTCCCCATTTTCTCAGCTTTCCCACCTGAGCTGACCTTTTAAAAGATGTGTGGTGAACTAACTTCAGGGACCAGGCCACTGCACATCGGTGGCCAAAGCTTGACGCTGGAGGCAGAAAGACTGGGGCCATGTGCTAATCTCCATGGGCATCAGTGTCCCATCCGTGGGGTACACCCCTGATTCCTGGGACTTTCCACACTCGGGAGGAACCCTTGCCCCACAAAGCAGGTGAAGGGATGCATCCCCAGGCACTGATGGTCGAGAAGTATGAATTAAAATGAGAATCGCCCTTCTGCCAGAAGTATTTTTTTTTTTGGTGAGCTCAGGCTGCCTTCAGGACAGGTCTGATTTGGCTTGAAGATGTGGGGATGGAACCACAGCATCCTGAGCCTAAGGGCTTTGATTTAGTAGGTACTTAAACAGCTGAGCTAAGGGGCAGACCCCCAAAGTTGTTCTTTCTTTCTTTCTTTCTTTCTTTCTTTCTTTCTTTCTTTCTTTCTTTCTTTTTTTTTTTTTCAGTACCAGGAATTGAACTCAGGACCCTGCACTTGCCAGGCAGGCACCTGTCTGGCAGAGAGAGGAATCTTTTGGAAACATAATTGTTACTCCTGGTGAAGCTGGGGACAGGTGGGCGAGTGGGCGCTGGCATGGAGGGCGATAGGGCTGCAGGCAAATGACACAGCAGGGCTGGGGTGGCCCCCTCCTGAGTGGGACCAGTGCCCCAAGGATTCTGCGTGGCTGCCCTGAGCACTGGCCTCTGGTGGAGCGGTGTCCACTCAGAGCGAGGTGGGCTTCATCTCTGACACCTTGTAGCTGTATTTGTGTCCCTTCTCTGACCACCAGTTGATGCCGTTGGCGTAGCTCTCATGGGGACCCCTGAGGTAAGGGCCACTCAGGTCAGACATGTGACAGTTCTCATACCACCAGTGTGTGCTGAACTGCTCTGCACAGTTGGAAGAATTCTGGTCATTGTCCTGGTCTTTGGTGGAGAAGAACTTGTCACCATGGAACGTCAGAGAGTCTCCTGCTCAGAGAAAATGGGGCTCCTTGGACACTGGAGGCGCCGGGCCTCCCTGAGCCTCATAGAACCCTGCCTCCTGCCTTGGAGGAGGAGGGTGCCCTTCTGGCTTTGAGAAGGGCGAAGGCTCTGTCCCGGCGTGAGCAGCTGGCACCTGCTCCCTCTGTCCTGAATCCTGTGCCCTGCATGCTCCTGTCCATCTCAGTGGGCACTTTGCCCAAGCCTCAGCTTTTCCATCTGCACGGGGCGAGTCTCTCTGCCCTCCAGCCTCCTTCCCTGGGAGTCTCAGAGGGCCCGTGCAGGGTGAACAGAAGCAGGAGGCCCAGGGCACAGCATGAAAGCTTCCAGGGAGCCGCCTGCCCCACGCAGTCCAGGTTCAACACAACTATGTGGGATTTGTGCCCAGCAGTTAGTTTCCCGAGGCCCTGGGGAGTGGTACCTGTCCACCCTCCAGCCGATGCCCCAGAGGCAGTGCCCCCAGAACCACAGGCCTGTGTCCCTCTGGGCAGGACTGTCCCTGGGGCCCTGGATCTGGTCGCATCCCGAGGACCAGGCAACAAAACACCTTGAGGAGCTGAGCGCAGAGCTGCAGCGTAGCGCAGGCCGCCGGCTCGGGCAGGCGCCCACACTGCTCTGGACGCAGGTGCCCAGCGCCAGCTTGTACTTCTCTGCCTCGCCGGCCACGCTGAAGGAGCTGTACTTGGCAAAGCTGTGGTTGCCTTCGAAGTCCACCAAGTCTACGTGGAGCTCGCTGCTTCTTGTGGGAGACCCCGGGTCTCAGCCCTAAGCCCATCCTACCACTGCCGCCACAAGAGGAGTATGGTCTGTGCTTGGCAGCCGGAACAAGCTCCACCGATGTGGGAACGCCCCGGGGTGGAAGCGAGGCCCTGGGAAAGCGGTCATACGGTATGAGCATGATACTGGGTAAAGCAGATCAGACCTCGTGCTCCGTCGGTCGGTCTCTCTCTCTCTCTCTCTCTCTCTCTCTCTCTCTCTCTCTCTCTCTCTCTCTCTTTGTGGAACCAGGGATTGAACTCAGGCCTTTGTGCTTGCCAGGGAAGCACTTATTCCACTGAGCCATCTCCCCGGCCCCTTGGTCTCTCTTATATGAGAAACCGAGAGTGAAGAACAAAGTAAAAGACAGGCACAGGAAGAGCAGCAAGAGGTGCAGACAAGCCAGGGCCATGAAGGAGAAAGGCCCGGCCACCTCCCACCTGAGCCAGGGCCCGGGCTACGCCTGGCGGGGAGGGGTAGGAGGGGTCTGCCAGGCCAGCTGGAGGAGCAAGTCGGGGCCCAAGTGTCCCTGATGGGCAGGTAGCTGGAGATGCCAAGGGGGTACCCAGGCCTGGGTGGCCTTCCCCATCTCGGGTCCTGAAAGGCCAGCAACCCACATGGCTGGACAAGCCCTCCCCTGCATCTTCTCCTTCTTTGATCCTGACTTTCTGGGGTGGCCGCAGCAGGGAGCACATGCCCTGGGAGCCACAGCTGTGCCCCTGTATGTGCCCAGACCTCCTGACCTGGCCAAGCATGGAGCCGGCTGCCCAGCTGTGGGATCCTCGGCTCGCCCAGCACCCACGCCCACCCAGTGCTGGTGCCGCTCACCCTGGGCGGTCAGCGCATGAACGTTGTCGTTCCGCAGCCAGAAATCCCCAAGGTGACTGCTGAAGCCCCACTTGTAGGCAGCCCAGTCCTGAAAGCAGTCCACGGAGCCATCGAACTTGCACTGGAAGACCTGGGGGAGGGGGATCAGAGTCCTTGGGGGACAGGAGGCCAGGCTGATGCCCCATACTGTCGGGACAGGAATTCAGAGCTACTGAGTCTCTGGCTAAGGTGCTAAGAGCATCCATGTGGTCTCACGACAGACCCCACATGATAGAGGAGGATGTGGAGGCCCGCGAACAGGCAAACGTAGGCTGGAAGCCACACAGTAAGGCAGTGGTGGGCTTCTTCCCGGCCTCAGGACCTGAAGTCTAACCCTCATAGAGTCTTCTCCTCTATATGGCGAGAATCTTTCTGAGCAGCAAAGGACAACACGGAATCTCAGAGTTGGCCACTGGACCTTCTCTGGGATTCCTGGCCTCTTGCTTGTGCACAAGGACCCGGTCCCAGCACTCACGGTCCTTCCACCACCATCCAGTCCATGTCCCACAGCACACTCAGGGCCCAGCAGTCAGGCAGGTGGACGGAGTAGCAACCACTCAGGCAGTAGCCCAGGCTGAGGAGCCCCTTGCAAGTCCGAGGCCTTGGGACCCAAAGAGAGGTAGGAGGTGGCCCTGTGCGGGCTGCACAATGCAGTGGGCCCAGGGTCCTCTCCCAGACCCCCAGGCCAGTAGGTGAAGTATACTTTCTCCTGGAAGAGCCATCATGGAAGGCACTGGTCCTCAGGCAATGGCTGCCAGGGGTCCAGGTAACTGAGGGACAGACGGACGTGTGGACGGAGGTTGATCCTGGGACTGTGGATCGCAGGTCTTCCCAGCTGGCTGGGCAGCATGGTCACCTGCAGCAGAGGCCTGAGAGGACCCTGCGCCTCCTCAGGTTGGGAAAAGGGGAGACGCTGGCATCAGCCCACGCCATCTGCAGTGGCCCCAGCTGCGCTAGGGTCACAAAGGCGGGGATGGGAAAGCCAGAGAAGCTGGAGCCGGGACTCCCTGCCCCTGCTCCCTGGGTGCGTGGCCTAATGCCTGGCTGTTTCTGAGGCTGGCCCTCAACACCCGGTGGCTGTGGATCCAGGCTCAGGCACCCACTTGCGGGGAGAAGCGACTCTTAAGCCCATCTCAGCCCATGTCTCCTCTACCCAGTGTCTATGTGAGAGGCCACATGGGGCCATGCAGCACTAGGACCCAGGGCTGGGCCCTGATCCTGCAGTTTTATTTCTAGACAAAGCATGTTACAATTTTTTAAAATAAAGGAAAGGGCTAGCCAAATAGCTCAGTGGATTAAAGCGCCTGCAAGCAGGCACAGGGGCCGGGGGTTCAATCTCATGCCAGCCCTGCGGCCCTGCCTCCAGGGAGTGCTGAGGCGGCAATTGAGACTGTGCTTGGTGGTGCACACCTGTAATCCCAGCACTTGGGAGGCTGTAAACACACGGATCACTACGAGTCCGATCTAGTAGTGAGACCCTGAACAGCACCCACTAGTCAAATGCCCACATTTCTGAATGATGCCATCATGCAAGTCCCTGGGGCTGGGCCTGGTAGATGCTCATGGGGGAGCCTGCAGGGGCTGGGGTGGCCCACTGTGCCCAGGTCCCTGCCACCCTCCTACCTGCTGCCCAGACAGGAACCTGGGGCTCCTGCCCCGTCTGAGGCCTGGAGGGCCCAGTGCCGGACAAAGCCCGCTGGGCGCCCCAGGGCTGTGGGCGGATGGCTCACCTTTCTCTCCACAGATCCCTTGGTCCCCTTGGCCCCCTGAAGAGAAGCAGAGAATGGAAGCCACCAGAGGGAAGGTCATGTTGAGGCCAACCCGTCCAATCCCCCGTGGTCACCACCAAGGGCGGAGCAAAGGGGGCAGCGGCTGCTGTGGTGAGCCAGGCCCATGCTGTTGCTCTGCCTGCTAACTTCCACCGGTGGGAGCCCTGAATCCAGGTCTCGGTGGGGTCCTCCCAGTCTCGTCTCGTCTCCCCAGACCTGCAAGGAGCCTCATGCTGCTGTGCAGTCACCTTTGGGCCCGGGGGTCCTGCTTTACCAGGGGGTCCAGGGGCACCTCCCTTGCCTTTTCCAGACAGGGTCCCCTGAGAAATATGCCCCTCCGTAATCCCCCCCCAAAGTCTTCCCACGCTGTGAACCCCCACTCTTCAGATGTCCCAGGTCCCACTGCCCTCGGAGCTGCTGGCCCGGCCAGGGCCCAGCCTAGCAGAGACTTCAGGTGGTACGGATGTGGCCTTGGTCCCCGGGGGCCAACCAGGAGCCAGGATTCGGGCCTGGAACATGCCAGTCTGTGCCCTTCTCTGGCTGCACCCTGGAACCCAGCCTCCACCCTGTTGACACAAAGCCCAGGGCCATGTCGTCCTCGTGCAGCTGGACTGTCCACTTAGCCAGGTCCCAGAGTGAAGGCACAGCCAGGGAGTTCCCGTCCCCAGCAGATCCTGGGCAAGAGGAGGGGCCCGGCCCTGAGTGTGACCCATGCCTGGATGGAGGGAGGCTGGGATGTGCACACACAGCCCTCCATGCCGTCTCTGACCACGGCCTCATGGCTCAGTGCTGCTGGCTCTGTGGGGTCAGGGACTCCCAGTCCTCTGTTCCAGCCACCCCATGTGCCCAAGCCTGAGCTAGGCCTCCCCTCTCGGACAGACGGAACCGGGGGGTCAGGAGTGGCAGCCTCCAGGCCCCAGGAGGGCAGCCAGGATGCCTGCCAGCCCCCCTGCATGCTCATTGTGCCCAGGACCATTGTTTCATGCCCTGGGGAAGCTCATCGACACCCAGGGGCAGGAGCCGCCAAAGGGGCCCTGGGAGTGGGGTCAGCATCCTGCCCACCTCTGCCCGTGGGAACAGCCTTCTCCCGGTGCCTCTGCAGGGCTCAAGGGACAGCAATCCCAGCCTGGGGTCCACGTTGGTGAACAGGTGTGCAGGGATCACACGCTCCGGCCCTTCACAGGTCGGGTACGTCACAGGACATCCAGGGTCTTCCTGTCCCCACCTGGTGTCCCTGGGCCTTGCCCTGAACACCTCCAGGTACCGGGAGCTCCCTCCAGGCAGTGGTATCCATGTGCATTCTGTTATGCCAGGCTCAGGGGACAGAACCCACCATGAACAGGGTCAGGACAGGGAGGCAGATGCAGGAAACTGCGCCCAAATCTCCTGGGGGCGTGGCTAGGGACGCTGCCTATGAAGGTATCTCCAGATCTCTGTGCCTTAGGCGGCGGCCAGGAGCACAGGGCACCTGTCCCTGACTGAGTGTCCCACTGCTGAAGGCTGAGACTCCTTCCTGCCCCGTCCCTGAGCCCATACCCAGCCCACATGCACCTCTCTCTCTTTTGGCTCCTGCCTCGCCCTTGGCCCTGGGGACCCTGGCAGCCCCAGGCAGCCCCGGAGAATGGCAAGCTTGTCCATGCCCTCCATGCCCACCACCTTCACCTCTGTAGAGAAACACATGTGGCTCCGTCACCGTGGTCACCTGTGCTGGGGGCCTTGTGGTGCCACAGACAGCAGCCCACTATGGGGTCCTGCCACCTCAGGTGGTCAGCTGAGGACCCCAGGCAGCTGCTGGTGTGGCAGTGCAGGGCTGAGCCTCGGCTCTGGGGTGTCAGCCTGCCCTGGAGGGCCCAGCTCCTCAGCCCTGGGGCCCCGCCTCAGTGCCAGGTGTCTCGGGCTGTCACTGAACTCTCTGCACTTCTGTCTCCTGGCTCCACACGAGGAGCGGGCTGGGCCTGTGGGAGGATTAGGTTGCAGAACATGCAGCTAAAAGATCCTAGTGTGCTTCCTGGAGAGGAAGAGCTGTGTACATAGGGCTGCCCTAGCAAATAATAGTCACTGTTTCAAGAGACTGGGGGAGGTGCCGAAGTCACGTTGTCTCTCCCTGACCTCGACCTCGGGACTGACCTGGAATTACTGGGCCAGGAGGGGCCACCCAGGACCCTGGGGAGGGGACACCGAGTGAGCTGCCCACCCCGGGCCTAACGCATCACTCGTTTTTGGTAAACGTTGATGAGAAGGCAAATACATGGCCACGGGAGTCTGCAGAATGGAGCTGCTCTGGGATGTGCGCAGGGCAGACATCCCCGTCCTTTGGTACCCGTCCTCTCTGCCCATGGGGGTGGCTAGAATGCTCCAGGGGTGTCTCTTCCATAAATACCGGATCCCAGGCTCCACGACTAGAGAGGGAGGCTCCTGCGCCCACGGCATGGAGCCAGGACTGGGGTGAGGAGGGGGGAGGCACACCTGTGCTTTTGCCAGAAGTCCCAGGTAAGTGTGGCAGCCCACTGGGGACATGAGGGGGGCGTCTCAAAGTTCCTCCCCAAAGCTCATGAGCAGGTAGAAACGTCTGCTCTATTTTCTTCCACCTTTGTGAGGGGGTCAGGCTCTGTCTGCCAAGCCCCTTGGGGCAGCTGTCACAGGCTTCCAGGTTGACAGACCGTGGAGAACCCGAGTGTGTGTCACTCAGGGCCTCTAGCCTGCATCTCCCATCCGGGATGCCGTGGAGCTGCTAGGGTCCTCGCAGAAAGGTGCACATGAGCAGGGGTGGTGGCACAGGCCTGCCCTCCCAGCACTCCAGGAGGCCACTGCAGGAGAGAGGCGAGTTCACGTCCTGTTGCATGGCTCCGTAAGACCCCATCTCAAAAAGTGAAAAGGGGCTGGGGCTGTAAGCATGAAGGAAAGAAAAAAGAAAGAAGGAAAAAGAAGAGGAAAAGAAGATGACGGATAGCCAATAGGCAGTAGCTCTCAGCCCTGGCGTCAGAAGAGGACAGTCCGTCTCACCTGGACAGGTGTCGGTAGCCTGGACAGCCAGGTCTTGGGCACACAGGAGCAGGACAGGCGGGACAGTGGGTCCCGGGGCCGTGGTGACCCTGCTCAGCTCCAGGCCCACGTCTGTGGTCTGGCAGATGCTCCCAGTGCTCACAGGGCTGGGGGGCCAGGCCTGACCTGGGGGGACACGCATTTCCGGCAGGCTGTCTCACTGCTCAAGAGGTGCATGTCCCCCGCTTTCCCTGACCGGGGACAGGGTGACAGGGTACTCGGGGCCCGCGCTTTCCACTGGCTGAAGGTGTTTCCTGCCTCTTGGGATGTCCTTGCTGTGGGGGCGCCATAACACCCCAAGCTTTCTTCCCTGAGGTCCCAGAGGCCAAGCTCACGCCTCCTGCTGTGGCTGACACCCAGGCTCAGCACGCTGTGGGCAGTTTGGGAAGCGCCCCTGAAGACGTGCAGGGGCAGTCAGCAGGAGAAAGGGGTGGTGCCCAGTGCCGGTGGTTCAGGGGCTGCTGTTTCTCTGGGCCAGTGTACGGGGTATGGTTCCTAGCCCTATGGCCACCCCACGGAGAAGCGGGCCTCAGGCTCTATGTCCTCGGAGACCGAGTCAGCATGGGGGCTGCCTTTTCACCTGCCGTGCCTGGCCTTGGCTTCTGGGGTGGCAGGGACAGCAGCTTCCTCTCTGGGACAGCTGGGAGGCCCCAGGGCGCTACTCCAGGCCAGCTGGGTCTGGACTCCTGTGGGCCACTCCTGTGGGCCACTCCCGTGCTGTCTCACCTGGGGCAGGGAGGGGGCAGGGAGGTGGCAGCCCTCTGTCCCTGCGTTCACTTGCTGAAAGCCCTGGGCCACCTGGGGTGGCAGCCACAGGACCAGCTGCAGGCAGGCGTGAAGGTATGTGCCTGTGACGTGGGCCAGGGACATGAGGGGAGGTGAGCCCTGCAGTTGGGCAGGGCCTCCTTGGTCCCCAAGGCTTCAGTGTGGGCGCTTAATCCCCATGGTGGGGTGGAAGGGTGCAGGCTGGATCTGACTGGGCCTAGATTGGGATCAGGTTGTCTAAACCTTAGGATGAGGTCATCTGGTGCAGCCCTGTGATGGGGTCTGGGTGGCTTCAGAGGAGGGGAGACCAGCACACACACACAGAGGCACACATGTACATGTACAGGCATGCACATAGAGCCCCCCCCCGTGCGCGTACACGTACACACACACACACACACACACACACACCCCTTGTCTCTCACCAGGATGCTGGGAGCCACCTCCGGCCTTCCGAGGCAAAACGGCTTCCCCCGTGCCGTATTACACTCCTCCAGCTGGGTCTGGGAGCATCACCTGGCTTCCGCCGATGGCAGCTCGGGTGTCTGGGGCCTTCTGACATCCTGAGCTGCAGAATGGCCAAGGGTCAGAGGCGTGGGCTGCTAAGGGTGTGGATTTGGGGATGCATCCTTGGGCTGCCTCCCAGGCAAGAGGACTGCAGTGTGCTCGGGAGCTGTGTCCAGAGGAAGAATACTCGGGTCTTTCTAGGTCACTCCTGTCCTCAGGCTCCCGGTGGAAACTGTCAGAAATCTCTGAAGGAGAACGAGGCCTCCCAGGTTCAGGCAACCTCTGCAGCGTGTTGTTCTCAGGTCCAGTGTTAGACTGAACGATAACCGGGCTCCTGAGGAGGAAGCCAGGGGGCCTTCCTAGGCATGAAGCTGGGCATGAGAGGGGCTGGAGAGGCGGACACTGTGTCCTGTGTGGAAGGCAGGAGCGAGCAAGTGAAGGATCCCGGAGGCTACAAAGAACGAGCAGGCTTGGCAGAGCTGACTGTGCCTGGGAACACTGGCCATGAAGAGTTAAAACATGAAATTTTTAAAAATGTGTGCATTTGGCCCTAGAGGCAAATAACTAAATAAATCTAACACAATGCACACCATTCTTCCATGCAGGGAACTGTCACATGGGAGCTGCCAGATCCCGAGGGAGACAGGAAGTCCGTCCTTTGTCCCTGGAGCAGGGGACTCCAGATTGGGAAGACATCAGGCTTCCCCTCTGACCTCATGGTTTTCCGCAGGGCCTGTTCTGTTCCCACTGTGTGACCCTTGGCAAGGTGGGTTTAACATTGCTGTGAAAGGGCCGGCCAAATAACTCAGTGGATTAAAGCGCCTGCAAACAGGCTCAGTGACCGGGGGTTCGATTCTCAGGCTTGCCGTGCCAGCCCCGCCCCCGCGCTGGGATGGTGATTGAGACTGGATGTGGTGGAAGGCAGCCTGGGTTGGACAGAAATATTGTAGGCAGTCAGACAGGGCCAGGCCTTGAAGGAGAAGACGAAGACCAGACACCTTACAGCTGGGGGAGATGCTCCTGCCGGGAGCCAGACCTAAAGACCAGACGAATGCTGACCTCCCTGAGGACTGGCGTCCAGGATTGCTCCTTAGTCGGGAAGAATCATCACTGAAGGCCACCAGATAAGGTCCTGGTTTACCTTCACGCCCGCTTGCTACGTGATTCGCCACCCCATTTGGTCCTGGGCCTAATCAGTTTTGCCTGAGCAATGGTGCTTGTAATCCCATTGGTTGGCCATGGTTTTGTCCCACCCTGCATCCACCTAAGTGAGACCCCTTCATCTCTACCTTAGCCCCGTGTGGTTTTACACTATAAAAGTCCCTGAAAGAGACAGCTTCCCCGGGGGCCACCCGCTTGGGCCCCCCTTCTGTCCCTCTCTTGGACAGGAGCTTTCTTTCCCTCAATAAATATATTCTGCTCATAACCTCCGTTTGTTCCTAAAATTCATCCTTCAGTTGTAGAGAACACGAACTCGGGCAGGTCGGGTGGGGTCGGGAGATCATTTGGAGGTTCCCAGTATCATTTGGAGGGCACCCACCCGAGGTCAGTTTTTCTCCCTGTATCACTATAATCCCAGCTCTTGGGAGGCTGTAAATGGGTGGATCACTACAAATCGGATCTAGTAGTGAGACCCTGAACACCCTGTAAACCCTTCCCTAAAATACAAAAAAAAAAAAAAAAAAAAAAAAAAAAAAAATTGCTGTGAAAGCGGAGACTTCCTGGACACCGGCAATGAGAACAGCGACCCTCCTGCGCCATGCCACAGACTTTGAAAAGTGCAGAAATTAATGGTGGCTGTGGACCCAGCTTACCTATAGCAATGGGCGAGGGGTCCAGAAAGGAGGCCAGACATTGTGACCTCCGGCCCATGACACCAGCTCAGGGCCTGGCAGTACCTGCCACTGACAGCTGGACATTCGCCTGGAAACCAGGAGGGAAACCTGAATTTTATCAAGCACATAAAAAAAAAAAAAAAAAAAAAATCAACATTAGGAGAGTTACAAGCCCTAGTGTGAAAGGTAAAAACAACAGTTTTAGATCCGATTATGAGATATCAAACAACCTCAGAAGCATCTTCTCCAGGGTAGAAGATCACTCAATCATAAAGGAAGGCTGGAAACCCAGCGAGGAGATGAAGAACATTTGTGTTTCACAATGTGCCACCGAGAGAGAGGGACGACAAGCCACGGGGGACGGAGCTCTTTCGCCGGATGCCGGTGACAGAGAGCTTGGATCCACAATAAAGGACTGAGGAAAATAAAAGCTGGATCGGAGGAAGGGGGGACGCGGATCTTTCTCACAGGGAAGTGGGTCAGGAGCTGGAGGGAGGGGATGGGGGAGCCGGGGGTGCGGGGGAGAGGGGGGCGAGAAAGGAACCGAGTCATGCGAGGCGCAGGCCGACCTCATCAGGGCGCGGGCCTTAGGCTCTGCGCACGCTATCAGAGTTTCCCTATGCATAGACTTTGAAATCTCACTTGCCGCAAGCGTATTGTGGACATTTTCACCCAAATAAATACAGATCTATGTGTTAAAAAGAAAAGGGTGCCTGTGCAGAAGCCGCAGCGGAACCCGGGGCAGAAGAAGGCTCCTGGAGCCCAGGGGAACAGCAAGGGCGTTCAGCCCCTCGGGCACCGAGATCAGGCTGAAATCACGGGCCTGCTCCCTGGAGCCTGCACCTGGGCTGGAGTCTGAGTCAGGACAGGGAGCACCCTGGGAGAGGCCGCGGCACAGAGGGAGCCCACAGAGGGAGCCGGCCTTCTGCGCCTGGTCTGTGCCCCCCACCCCACCCCCAGGGTCATTGATTCCCCCCCACCCCGCCCCCAGGGTCACTGATCCCTTCCCGGTGATGGGACACTGTGACACAGTGCTTCTTATTCCCTGAGGGAGTGATACTCCCCTGTAACACCCCTAGGAGCCCAGCTGCCCCAACCCCAGGGTGCTTAGGGCTGGGTGACAGCACATGGCAGCCTGCAGTGACCCTCTTTCTGTGATCCCAGAAGCCAGGCTGACCCCCTCTTCATCTTGAGCCCTGGACTCGGGGTGCAGTATTGCCTCCCCAGACCTGGGCATGACCCCTGGCTGGGCGGTCCGTGTCCATCCCTCTGCTGGGCCTGACTGTCCCTCCTATGCATCTGATCCAGAGGGCTGTGAGAAAGGGGCGGGCCTCCTGGCTGGCTGGGCCCGGCTGGGGTGCTGCATACCCCTCCTTAGATCCCAGGAGAAGGATGCCTGTCAGGTCTGTCCTGGAGTCCAGGAAAGGACCCTTTCCACCAGGCTTTGGACACTTCCTCTTAAGGAGGAGAGGAAACCACTGCTTGCCTTGAATAACCCCAGATGAGTCCATGCCTATGTCGCTAGCCTCAGGTCATCCCATCCCCCCCTCCTGCAGGTGGGTTCAGCTGAGCCTTCTCCAACCCTGGGTACAAAGACACCCCCACCCCGCCCTGTCTGCTGTGCCCAGGGTGCCAGGGCGGGGCACCGGAGACCCTGAGCTCCCACCCCCACACCTCCTCTCTGACTGAGCCCTTCAGGTCTGGGGTTGCTGTTGCCTGCTGCCCTGCCCCCACCAAGAGTCTTCCTGCTTAATCCCAGGCATCATCCTGTCCCCCAGGCACTTTGTCCCCAGAGGCAAGGGGGAGGGGCACGGGACTCAGGAGGCTGACAGAGTCTGGCAGCTCCTCAATGGTCGCCCTCAGCAATCCGCCCAGGTGCAGACTCAAGAGACTGAAGACTTGTCACATTCGTGGCAGCAGGATGCCCAGTGGCCCAAGGTGGAAGTGGCCCTGGGATTGTCCTGTCTATGCAACATATCCAGGGTAAATCCAGAGAAAGAAGGGTTCCTGGCCAGAGCTGGGGCTGGGCCCAGGG